AAACTTCACAGTTCTACTCATGTTAACTCATCATATCATCACATAGTATTCATATATTAATCCTTTTTATCATCTCACATTGTCTCATATTAATTCATCATAGTTACACTCGCGGTAATTCTCATACTATCACTTATTACTCACGCAACCTCACTGTCATACTCATAGTAACTCATCACAGGAATCCTATAATCAAACATCACGACATCGCTGCACACGATCAATATTCGCGAACTCTGCTAAGCGTTGGCTCACTCGCTAGGCGAGTTGGTAGCGAGCCTTCGCTGGCTTGCTCGCTAGGAGAGCCTCTAGCGAATCCTCGCTGGCTTGCTCGCTAGGCGAATAGTGCGATGACAGCAACTTCTGCTATGCACCAGAACTTATTCCTGTCCAAATACTCATGCGATTTACTTACCAATGCCCCCAAAACATCATTAAAACATCCCCAATATCATACGGCGATCATGGCACCAAATCTATGGTTTATTAGGCCAATCTAGCAACATTTGCACTGCCTAAAACACTATTTTCCTGCAATTGCTCTGAGTGCATCAGAGTTACTCACATTTGAATATTCCTATTCCTACAGGGTCAAACATATCACAATCCAAGGTTTTGGCCACGAAGGCCTAAGGTTTCCTTTCTCATGTTACACATCAAACAGTCAAGAATACTAACCACTAACCACCACCCCCCCCCCCCCCCCCCCCAAGGTTTCATTATCAGTTTCCCTTAATTTCACACGATCAACCCAAAATACCCTAAATCATAAACTTCACCATAAACACACCGAAAGGCATACATAGAAAATCATGAAATGCGATACTCCCCATACCTTAGCAGATTCAAAGCTTTCACGATTAACTCCGGCAACCTTCCGAAGCTTTTGCCTCCACTGATCCCTCCTCAGAGCTCTGACCTTCATTCTTTTCACGATTAACCAAAATGAATCCCAAACCTTCAGAATTCTATTTTGTCAAACTTAGACTTGAGTCACACAATTGGGCTTTTCCCATAACACCCTTACTAACTCTTCATAATGCCCAATTTACCCTTATTTCACTTATATTTATTTTAATTCATAATAATATTAATAAATCTATATTACATACTATTATTCCAAAATAAATACTCCAAATATGCATAATTCCCCAATAATTCCCAAAACCACCGAACACACCCAAAACACCAAAAATACGAATATTCTCAATTAAATAAATTAATTAAAATATTCCGATTAAATTCGGGGTGTTACACATGGCTTTGGTGCCTCTGTGCCTTTATGTTACATCTGTTACTTTTATTATGAAAAAAAATGGAAAACAAAAATAAATGGGTTGACTGATAATATATGGTAGTGAGATAGAGACACAAAGGCAAATGCCTTGGGCGCCTTAAAGGCACCATAGCCCTGCCCCCTGATGAGCCTCTGATGGTGACCTCCTTACCGCTTTTATTGCTTTTTGGTTCCTGTAATCTTACAATATATTTTCTATCTCTTCATCACTTAAGGTTGTAAGGCATATTTCAACAATTTTTGCTTCTCATTATGCAAGTAGAGATAATTGCATCAAGTCGCCATCGTCATTCACCGTAAAATCGGGAAATCTTGCACAATAATTCAATATTTCTAACTGTTGAATGTCCTTATTAGATTTTCTCATACCTCTTTCTTATGTGATCATTTCTTGTTCAATTTTGTTTTGAGTCAGAAAAATATTATTATTTACTTTCATTTGATAAATTTTCTTCCAAATTTTATCCTCTTGCCTCTTAAGGTTTCACATATTTATTGATTGCAATCCTCCCACCTTTAGATCATAGTGTTTGTATGCACTAGTTTTCATCACCATAAACTGATACCTTATCATCCAATTTTCTTCTAAATTGATATAGAATGTTCTTGAAATATAGTGAACCAAATATTCTCAAATGCTTGGCACATGGTTTCAACATCTTTTTTAGGCATCTATTTATTAGATAGGTTATAGATGTTGTTCCTCCTCACATATAATGAGGCATTCCCTTATTATTCAACATGCTTCTACCATGTTGAAATTGGTCATATTCTTCCTTTCTGATTTACCATTGTATTGTGGAGTTTAAGGTATCTTTACTCTATGCCTTGTTCCATTTGATACACAAAATGACTCAAAATCGTTGAATGTGTATTCATTATTACCATAATTTCTAAGTATATTGACTACCTCCTCACTTTAATTTTTAACCATCACTTTGAATTTCTTAAATACCTTAACAACTTCAGTCTTAGTTATCAGAAAAATAAAAAATTTCCTAGTGTATTCATTAATGAAGGAGACAAAATAAGTGCTACCTCGATGACTTGACTTCAAAGAGACCACGAACATCTAAATGAATGCCTTCAAGTTTCCTTCTGAATTTGATAAGTAATTGAACGTGGTAGACATTCCTTGATTGTTTGGATGTGAAAAAATATTCACAAACTTATTTTGGTACCTTGATTGGTGTAAATCCCTTCAGCATTCTCTTCATGTGCATCATAGTCAAATCCTTAAAATTCAAGTGTCCATATATCATTTTCTGTTGAGAATAACAAGTGTGAGTAGTGTGGAGAAGTCTCTCATTGGTTAGAAATGTGGAGACTTGGGAATTTATAAGTGGGAGAATCCACACACCTATCACCTTAAGGTTTTAGGTAAGTATGTGGCGTGTCTCTCATAAAGGTGTGTTGCTCTTAAATAAAATCCCCAAAATATCTTGGAATCTAAATTCACCTTCATCTTCATAATCCATTTATCATATTTCTCTTCGTCGAACAATGAAAACTTTGTATGGAACCCATCAATGTTATTATAATTTGATGATGTTTTCTTCTCGAAATTGGACTCACTTTGTTTCGAGGATTAACACTTGTGGAACCAAGCTCCAAATGCCAATTTTATTGAACTATATGATAATGGATTGAAAAAATTAAGAGAATGAGAGAGGATTAAATTATTGAATGATCAAAAGTTTATTCACTTTTGATCCATACATTTTAAGTATCAAGCAATCTTACTTTTTACAATCATAATAGCCAAATATCCTTCTTGTTGAACGTCTTATTATATTCTTTATGATTGCTAAAAGCGCCTTTGAATTTCGCTTCGTGTAAATTTTATTCTTGATTCATAATACGCCTTTCACAATTGTTCTTGAAAATTTGACTCTTTCAATTCCCTTGGTCTTTTTTGAACTTTCATTTCTAAGTGTATTGAGTTTGTAAGGCTTGATCAATTGGACCTTCACTTGTTTTCTCCTTATTCTTGCTACTTTTTGTCAATCTCACTTCATCTCATCAAAATTCTTAAATTTCTCCAAGTCGCCCCTAAGTGTGATCAAATCTTAGATTTGATGTTCTTAACACCATCTCAATCTTTATCAAATTAGTTAATTTCTCGTTATTTCTACACATTATATTTGATAAAGTGATCAATCTATTGAAGTACTCATTAACAAATTCTTTATCATTCATGAGAAAAATTCAAAATTCCTTTCTGCAACCCACCACGTCTCTTTTTCATTTTCACAATATATGATTTTCTTAAATATTTCAAAACTCTCACTGATGTATCAAGAACAAAGTTTTATAATTCTTTTTCAAATCTTTGTGTGCAATAATTTGTGTATTAGGGGAATTCCTTTCAATTGTAGGGACACTATCTTTAATCTTTTCAACCACATCTTAAAACTTATAGATTACATTTATCCTTACAATTATTTCCCTTCAAAACTAGAAATTTAATGGGAGTCCCTAATTATTGTAAAAGTTTGAGGACACAGTTTTTTTTTTTTTTTTGGATATTTTACTTGTTGAAGTATACCTAAATAAACGGGAGGGGATGGGATGAGATGAATTTTGATTAAATGTATGTTTAGTTCAAAAGAGAAAAATAAAAGGAAAAAAAATGTTTTAATTAAAAATATGTTTGTCAGAGGATTTAAAACTACTAATTTTAATTTTTACCTTTAAAATATTCTTAATACTCTTGTTAAATAAAATAAAATAAAATAAAAAACAAATTATATTCACACAAAAAAAAATCGTAAAAAAATTCATAAATAACATAGATAACCTAACATAAAATATTTAATATTTTAAATACTTTAAAATATATTAAATATAAATAAAATATTGATAAATGTCACAGAATTAATATATTATCAATTTTTAAATGAACCATATTCTCATCTTGATGATCCATATAATCCTAAAAAATATTTATGAAATTAAATCCTAGATAATACATAACTCATATAATACCATTATACAGCAATATGTAATACAACACAATAACTTATAAAAAAATTAATTCTTATATATAAAATAATAAATAAAATTGAATAAAATAATAAATAAAATTGAATAAAATAAAACACATGAATAAAATAAAAAAGTTGAATCATAATAATAAAATAATAGAGTTGTTGTTAAAAATATATGAAAAAATTCTAATAAGATGACAAATTAACATATAACATGTATTAAAGACAATTTAGAATTATAATAAAAAATGTAGAATATTTTGTCAATATAATATAAATAAATTTTACTATAAATGCACTTCATCCCCTTCTCTCCAAAAACCCCCTATAAATATTTTATGAGGAGGGAAGGAAAGATAATCTAAAAGAAAGAACCAATTACCCCTAATACTTTAAAGTTTTGGGTAGATATGATGTCAAAGTCGCTAAAACCTTAAACCTTTATCCGAACGTCACTTTTAATTTGACATGAGTAGCATCAATGACACTTATGGGACCAAACTGTATTTGCAGATTAAACAATTTGATAATGGATTGAAGACAAATAAGAGAATGAGAGAGAATTGAATTATTGGATGATTAAAATTGTATTCCCTTATGATACACATATGTCATAAATAACTATGTATATATATACAAGTTGAAACTTCAACTAACTAATAAAACAACTAGCAACTTTTAACTAGCATTTCTATTAACTATTTGTATTGAAGTTATGATTACTGGAGGAGCAGGAGCAACAGTTTTATACAACTTGAAGAAAAGACACCCAACACTTGACTTACCTGTGATAGACTATGATCTAGCACTTCTTTTCCAACCAATGTTAATGCTTGGCATCAGTCTTGGTGTTGCCTTCAATGTCATTTTTCCTGACTGGATGATAACAACTTTACTAATCATATTCTTCACTGGTAATTAATCATTTATCTCTCTTCTTTTCTTTATTACACTGCTTATTCATATTGATCTAGTTTTGGATATGATCAACAGGCATTTCGATTAACGCTTTCTTAAAAGGTGTTAACACATGGAAAAAAGAAACACTTACTAAGAAGGTTGCTTAATCATCATTTACTCATTCTTTATATTAATTAAGTAAACTCTTTTTTTCTTCGTTTCGATGGCTTTTTTAATGCATTCCTGTTAACAATTCCAGGAAGCTAGAGAATCAGATGATAGAAGGATAGAGGATTCTGCACTTGATCTTCAAGTAGGAGAATCAGTCAATGAAAGTGAAACCAATACCAATGTACCAAGAAAAAAGGTTTCTGTTATTGAGAATGTTTATTGGAAGGAACTTGGACTTCTTTTCGCTGTCTGGATCATAATACTTGCATTACAGATAGGAAAAGTAAGTACATATATTGACGTTTTTCTATGTTGCTTGTATAAACAAGGAATGATGATTATGTATGTGTTTGTTTTGAAACAGAATTATACAAGAACTTGCTCGGTGGCGTATTGGATATTGAATCTGGTTCAGGTACCTATAACTGTAGGAGTGAGTTCATATGAGGCAGTGCTTTTATACAAAGGGAAAAGAGTTATAGCTTCCAAGGGAGATGAACAGACAAATTGGAGTGTGAAGCAATTGATTATGTACTGTTCATGTGGCATTATTGCTGGCATAGTTGGTGGCTTGCTTGGTCTTGGTGGAGGATTTATCTTAGGGCCACTTTTCATTGGACTAGGAATCCCTCCTCAGGTACCTTATTTTTTTTCATGCTTCTCTATTGCATAAAATTCATATATGTTTGTGTTGTGATTGAAGAATTTTGTATGAAGGTGTCAAGTGCTACATCCACTTTTGCAATGACATTTTCTGCTTCTATGTCTGTGGTGGAATATTACCTTCTCAAACGTTTTCCTATTTCATATGGTAAGTGAAATATTGCAATCGGATATGCATGCACAATTATCAAGTGAGTTGAGTTAACGGAACATTATGATGAACTTTTAAATATTCGACGTTTGATTATTGTTGCAGCTCTTTACTTTGTGGCTGTAGCGACTGTTGCTGCACTTGTTGGGCAGCATTTGGTGAGGAAGCTAATTGCCATATTAGGGAGAGCTTCAATCATCATTTTCATCCTTGCTCTCACAGTTTTTGTGAGTGGAATATCACTAGGCAAGTGTTAATAATTTGTTTAGTTTGCTTTCTTTATTATGTGTGGATACTCTCTTAGTAATTATGACTAGCAAAATAGGTTTTGCTTTATTGAATTTGAATTACAAAAAATCAAAGTTAATCTAAAATGAATTTGTTTAAAGTGAAAAAATTATGGTGATCGATCATCTTAATTTGATTCGTAATTCATTAAGATAAAGATATAATTTAAATTAAACCCTAGTTAGTTTACTTTAAATTTAAGTGATTATTTTAGAAAGTCGTACTTCAAATTTAAGTATATTGAGCTTAACCATTTTGTCCCCTTGAAATGACAGGTGGAACAGGAATAGCAAATCTGATTAAAAGGCTTGAAAATAAGGAATACATGGGGTTTGGAAACCTGTGTGAGTACAGGGTTAGGAATTGAAGTTCAATGTTGCAAAACTTGCATGGGTTTAAAGTTGCGCGTTAGCCTTGGGTTTGAATGCTAACCAATTTGATTCCAATTTTACAAACTATGTAAACTAAATATTTCTTTTTAACTGAAAAACAAACATGTACATTATATCATTGTTCGCACAATAACCTCACATTATGAGCAGAAGCAAAAGACCAAAATTGCAAAACTTAGCATTATATTATAAAAACATGACAAGTGCTGGGAATATTCTGTTTTTAACACTCTCTAACACGGGAAAACACAGATAGATCCCTCACTTTAGAAATAGATTTCATATAAAGTGGTGATAGGATTTACATGAGTTTCATCAAGTGGGTGTTGTTAACATTCCTATAAAAACATTTGTAAAAAAATGTTCATTAGAGAATCTATTTGAGAAAAGGTAATCAGTGTTCGATTTTTGTAGAGAAATTCTTTTTCGAGATTCTTTTTGAGTAAAACACTAATTTTTCAAGTAAGACAGTGAGTGAATGGTGCTTGCCTTTAGTAGAAAATTGCATTTTAAATATTCTACTTTAGTAAGAGTAATTGGTTCTTCCTTTAGGAAATTCAAATTACTTTAAAACCATTAAGTTGAAAACATTTGAAGTCTTCTACATAACTATAAAAATTTGCAAAACAATTCTTCAAAAAGGTGACATTCAAAACACGTTGAGCATTCAAATGTATGATAGATGATTGCAGATTCAAGGAAGAAGCATCCTTATATTGGATTATATTAACAATTTAAGATTGAATGAAGGGGAAATAAGTTATTATTATTAGCTATACGGATGAGTAGGTTATGAAAAAAACACAACCATTAACTGCTATCATAAAAGAGTATTTATACACAGGTTATTTTCAACCATTGAAGAGCAAAAAAAACGTTTATGATAATGACATATGTATGAACAAAATTTTCATAGCTATCATTGAAAGAGTTTGATAATATTATATAAGACTTTTGAACACATTGTTTTTAAATTAATTGAAGATTGACTCAATGAAAATTAATTTTGACAGTAAGATATATGGAAGCTACATGGAATAAGCTTGTGAAAATCAGCTGAAATCAGGATCCATACACAAATAAGTTCTTCTAAAAGAATAGCCAAAAAATATCAGGCATCATTCTTATCTAGATATATCCTATCGCCAAATAAAACATTGCGCTCAAAATAAACGGTTTATGTAAGCAGAAAAAAAAAACTTAAACGCAACTCACATAACCACAATCAATTTCCAATGAACTTGTTTTGTTAAGCTAAACAAAGAACTGAATTCCTAACCAACCATTCACAATATCATCCATATTCTCCTAACCAACCATTCACAATATCATCCATATTCGCGATTAACCGATAGCACTAAATAACACAAATCATAATTCAAAACATAGCAAAATCTGATTTATATTTAATCAACTAAGCAACATAATAAAAGTCTGAAAATAAAGCTATTAAATTAAATCCGCAACATTCAAAGGTTCAACAAAAACAAATCAAAAACACTAAAACATCGAAACTCAAGCTTCAAGCTTCAGCCTTTTGGTAAACATAGGTAAGCCCACACTTACCACAGTAATGACGATCAAAATGATTCGCCATGAAAGTCCCCGCACCACACTCTGCATTAGGGCACTCCTTCCTCAGCCTCTGCACCTTTCCAGAATCATCAACCTTATAGAACTGCAGAACCGCGAGCTTCACCTTCCTGTGCTTATGCTTGATCTTCTTAGGCTTGGTGTAGGTCTTCTTCTTACGCTTCTTTGCGCCACCACGAAGACGGAGGACGAGATGGAGAGTTGACTCCTTCTGGATGTTGTAGTCGGCGAGAGTGCGGCCGTCTTCCAACTGCTTTCCGGCGAAGATGAGACGCTGCTGGTCCGGGGGAATTCCTTCCTTGTCTTGGATCTTTGCCTTCACGTTGTCGATGGTGTCAGAAGACTCAACCTCGAGGGTTATCGTCTTCCCCGTTAGGGTTTTCACGAAGATCTGCATCTTGGGGGAAAGTGTGAAGCGAGCAACAAAGGTTTGGGAATGAGGCGTATAGGTTTCAGAGGAATTTATTTTCTAGGCAAATTAGGGTTTCGAGTATTGGGCTTTCAGCTTGTTGTTCGGTTTTGGGCCTCTCTAAACCCAGATTTGATTCCATCCACCTCAAACTCCTAATAAATATAAAATTCACCGAAAAAAAACATTTATAATATAATCAAAAGTATTTTATTGAATTAATAAAACAAAATATATAATCAAAAATATAAATTAAAAACTTATCAAAAAATAATAGTATTTTTATTTTAATTTATGTATAAATTTTCATAAAAGAATAGTATATTATGTACTTTTATTACTATTAATAATTATTTTATTAAATATTAATCAAATTATTTATTGTGTTTTGTTAGATTTGACAAACTTTTTTGTCAAAAATAATATTGAGGGTCGATTATTGCATCCTTATGAATTCTTGCATTTCAATGAAAAAGCAAAAAGAAACTTTTTAACCATTAGGAGATTGAAATTTGGATGCAACATCTCGAAGAAAAAACAAATTAAATTACTGGAAATGCAAGAACTCATTCCAAAGAAATATATGTCTAGACAATCTACAAATACACTTTTTGGATATTAGAATTTGAACACAACATTTTATATGACACGGTCACTTTTTCCCTTTGTGTTATCTTGCATTTGAAATCAACTCTAAAGAACATGAAAAGACCCTCTGAAAAATTATGATTCAACATTCTTTTAACCATCTCTTAATTTCTACTCCAATTCGATCAAACTAAACACTTTAAGTAATTTATACTCTTTTTTATTCAAATAAAACACTTTCATTTCTCACATTTGAAGAATGTATTATAAGTTTCTCACCTTCACCTTACTTTTTCTTATTTTGATGCATGCAAGTGTAGGAAGGAGGGGTAGCATAAGTATTTAACTACGCTTTTAAACATCTATTTTATAATAATTGAATCTTTTGAAGTTGGTGTATTTATTATTGCAGTATCGTAACACGTTGAAGTGTATAAATTAAGATAGAAAGATAGCAAAGTTGTTGCAACAAGATAAGTCATGGCTTCAAGAAGTATTTAAGCTATTTGGACTGAAGGACTTCTACATAAGAGAATATGGTTATATTGACCATGATATTTTGTCGGAATTTTGTTAAGAGATGGTACGTATAGACGTCATCATTTTATCTTCCTACTGGTGAGATAAGTATTAAGCTTAGTGATGTATCAAGCATCCTCCATCTCTCAATCATAAGAAGATTGTTGATCACTCTTCAATTTAGTGATCTGAGACACTAGACCTAATGGTAACATAATTTGGATCTAATTCGAGTGATGCCCAAAAGGATATTTTAGATACTAGAGGATGTATTGTGGAATTTTCATTTTTGAAGCAAAAATATTCTGATCACTTGGATGTTAATGAAAATAATGTTGGTGATCATGCACATGATGCGTATCACAGACAACATACATTGAAGACATATTTCCTGTTTTTGATTGACAAAACCATTTTTGTGGAAAAAAGTGTGACATATGTCGATGTTGTCTACCTTAAATACTTGGACTTACACAAGATTCACAAGTATAACTTTAGGGTATCTTGTTTGGTTTACATGTACTTCAAGTTCGGTGGAACAAATTAATGAAAGACGAGACATGTGACAAAAAAACAACTATATATTTCTGATAACTTACTTACATGTTAATTATTAATGTTATAATACATAAACTACAGTATTACTTAATATTATCTAAACCATTTTCAGGTATGGATCCTTCAGCATTTCTTAGGTATTGTTGGGTGGGAGTATGTTTTTGAGTACACAGAAAAGTTGTCATGTGTGCTCGATTATCCCACTCAGAGGAAATCTGGTGAGTGAGTTATACAAACTTTTTATTAAACTCAGTTTCGTGAATGATATTTGTTTCACACATACGTAGAGCATCATCATACACGGCCTTTGGAGGTGATATGTTGGTATTCTAGATGATTGGGTGATGGGTTTTTGCATATGTACCCACATCTAGATGAGTGAGTACTGTGGTAGTTCAGATATACGCAATGTATACTTAGTGGTCCCACATCGATCGCTCTTGCCACTATCCTCCATAAAGATATTAATGAGATATTTTTGGAGTACCATGAAAATCTAGTATTATAGGATGTATGTAGTTTTTCATTTCCTCATCTATGTGGTACGACATAAGATAACATCCAATGGTTAAATTGAGTTTCTCATCCATATATGACACCAGTTTCAAATGGAGATCCCTCTAGGCCAGTTTATTAAGATATACTAAAGGAAGAACAGACAAGGGTGAGCCATGTCGCAGATGCTTTTCCTATATGCCAACGTATTGTCTTTATTGGAAGAGATGTCATCAGTAGAGGAGAGTTTCAGGAAGGTACCCCCGAGAAGGTCAATTGACAAGCGATATTATTAGAGACTTGATTTGCACTACATTATGTAAGGCAAAGGAGGAATATGGGTGTACAATATACCCATTTGTTTTCCAAATATGACTAATTTTGACCATTTTCTCATATTCACCCTTGAATTATTTGGTCTCTAACGCAAGCTTAAGTCTACCTCTCACATTTTTTGTCATACGATATATACACAGTAAAGCATATAATGTAGGAAATACATTTGTAATCGACCTCATCAGTTTGGTATCGCAATCTATGACAATCACCTATGAAATGTTTTTTAGGTCTTTCATTATATTCTGACACGTTTCCATAACCCATGTAACATTACCCTTTTTTCACATTCCAAACATGTAAAGTTAACTGAATAAGTCATCTTTATAGAAGTAACACCAACAATTTTTCATAAGAGAAATCTAATACTTATTGGTCTTATATGTTAAATCAATTATGAATATATCGGGGAATGTGTTGAACAACTCGAGGGAATCATGATGAGTTCAAAATATATCTCAAACTGCTTTTTTATCCTCGCACACTTTGTACTTAGATACATAATGATGTTTATCCAATGATTTCAGCAATTATTGCATTTTAGATTTTGGACTTCTTATTGCCTTGTTGTTTCGGTGGCAAACACCGTATACTTGCTTAATATTTTAGACATTTTTAGCTCTTTTCTTTTTCAGAGTTGTGAGTATTTTTTTTGCTCAACCATGTTCAATGTCATTGCAAAAACAAGTTTTTTCTCTTAAAAATTCAAACAATTGACAATCGGATGACCAACTAAGTTGTGATCATGATTATATATACTATAAATTATACTAAATATCCATGTACTATTCGATTTTTGGTATTTGAGCAACTTAAAAGGATAATCACACGTTTTCTTGTTCTGATGTTAGCTTGTTTCAACTTCATGATAGGTTCTTTATACATACCACTTCTTTCGCATATCATCTTAACAAATGATTATCTTCTGTTATAACCTTAATCCAACCTCCTGATAACTATGCCAAAACCTAATTTAGCAGTTTTTGTACGGACCCATTGAAGCATATGTTCAAAGAAGAAACAAGTTAGAGTTGTTTATGTTGTGGATGTGTTATCTAGATGTCGTCGTATTGTCACTTTAGTTAAGGGTGTCATCAATAGAAGAAAGTTTCAAAAAGGAACTCATTTGTGGGACACCATACGTGCGGTATTATCATATGTACAAGGTGTACTTCAATATAGGAGGCAATGAGTGGTAAGGGTGTGCAACAGATTCAATAAATATGTTATTTTATGTTATTTTATTATTATTTACTTCTTAAACAATTATATACATTTATAATTAATGTGTATACTTTGTAATGATAATTATATAACTCATTAGATATACTATTTTATGATTGATATATTTTATGATTGCAACATTTTGGTAACATTTTATATATGTCGATTACAAAATGCATATTGCATGGTAGTTTGATTGCAATTAGCATTCTTACTTAGTTTTCTAATTTATGATAGCTTCAGTGGTGTGTCTGGAACATATCTATCGAACACACCCTTTATATGTTATTGGTTATGTCTCACATATATATAGTCACATGGATGTGCTCGAAAACTATTGTCGCAATTGCGAAAAACACCTAATAGAAAAAATAGAAGAGTCGTCGTAGAATGTTATTTAGCCTGGCACAAAGAAAGGAAACGGTCGAAGAAAACTTGAAAAGAAGAGAGAAGACAAGGTCATCACAACCAAATATTGAGTTCGGGAGTCGGTTATGCAAGAAGAAGGTATTAGCACCCCCTTGTATCTGTTGTATTCAACGAGATCCACGCTTGTTGTCTAATCAAAGGATGTGTCATCTAAAGCCTACTACTAAACAGAAACGAGAACGAAGAAAAATAAAAAAAGGAAAGAGACTCGATAGAACATCTCCGCCCTATGCGTACGTATTCCCTCATGCAATGGAAAAGTCAGAGTCAACGTAGTTCATAGAACTACGGGTAAAAGGGAGAAAATATGATCGCCAAGACATCATCGTCTTGTGCCTACATATCCTCATCTGGTATGAGAAATCAGAGCAGCCGCAATTCAGCTAACCACAAGTTGCTTAGTGTTTTTTATGACCGACATTATGTTCTCATTCCAGTAGTTAGGGTCGATGTTTGTTTGTCGTAGAACAGAAAAATAACACACCATTTCTTAAAAAAAATTGACAAATGATCCCGAAGGATAAAATCTATGATATATAAGTTTTAGAGAAGTGAATTGATTGGGTTTGAGATTCGCATCACACTAAAATCTATGATATATAAGTGAATGTGTCACATGATTGCCCTCATACGGGACGTACGCTAAACACTCTAGACAAGTAAGAAAAGACCCATCATTCATCATTTTCCATATACTTAACGCTCGTGGTGCACAATGTTCACAGTCTTTATTAAGTGTTTGAAGTTGTTTTGAGATGATAAGAAAAGAAAGACGCACAGAAGGTCTAAGGGGAAACTCAGTCCTAACATTGTCATGCAAAGTGGTCCTAAGGTTGGGA